AAAGGTGAAACCTAAAACTACAGAGTTTCGGCTTGTGCTGCTGTCATGGGGTTGCTTGGTGGGTCAGTGGGGAGTCGGCGCCTGCGTACTAAGACCTTTGTGCAGCAGCAGTGGCAGTGGGCTCGGAGGCAGCGGTTGGGCTCGTGGTGGGCAGACGGGGTCGAGTCAGTGCATTTGCTCAAGTTGGAATTGAAGCCTCTTAAAATGGCAGATGATTTGGACTTGGAAACAGGAGATGCAGGGGCTTCAGCCACCTTCCCAATGTAGTGCTCAGCATTAGGTAAGAATGGATTTGTGGTGCTCAAAGGCCAGCCATGTAAGATTGTCAAGATGTCTACTTACAAGACTGGCAATCATGGTCATGCCAAGGTCCACCTGGTTGGTATTGACATCTTTACTGGGAAGAAATATGAAGATATCTGCCCCTCAACTCATAATATGGATGTCCCCAACATCAAAAGTAATGACTTCCAGCTGATTGGCATCCAGGATGGGTATCTATCACTGCTCCAAGACAGTGGGGAGGTACGGGAGGACCTTCGTCTGCCTGAGGGAGACCTTGGCAAGGAGATTGAGCAGAAGTATGACTGTGGAAAAGAGATCCTGATCACAGTGCTGTCTGCCATGACAGAGGAGGCAGCTGTTGCAATCAAGGCCATGGCAAAATAACTGGCTCCCAGCCTGGCGGTGGTGGCAGCAGTGATCCTGGAGCCTGCAAAGGCCCCCTCCCCCAGCCTGGCCCAGCTCTGGCCTGGCCTTTGGGTGGACTCCTCCTACACGATTTATTTAATGTTTTATTTTGGTTTCTTCCCACCCCCACCCCAATCTGTCAGGGACCCATGCCCTTCACCCTGCTCCCTTGGCCAGGAGCGAGCAATGGCATTGGTGAAGCTGCCCTCCTTCTCCCCTCGCACTACAGCCCAGGTGGGGGAAAGAGGGCAGATGCTGCTTGTGGTGTAGTGTTTCTTTTCTTTTCTTTTCTTTTCTTTTTTTTAATTCAACCTGAAATCAGAACACTGTGGATTGTGGCAAATGGTCTTCTGTCCTTCCCTCACTTGCCCTTGGTTTGGTCCCCTGTATTCTGTAGCCCATTCCCCCAACCACCACCCCCACAGACTGGGTACCAGCCCCCTCCCCAGTCTGTTATTTCTCCCCAAGCCCTTTTAGATGGGGAGGGAAGAGGAGGAGAGGGAAGGGGACCTGCCCTCTCCTCAGGCATCTGGGAGGGCCCTGCCCCCATGGGCTTCACCCTTTCCTGCGGGCTCTCTCCCCAACACATTTGTTAAAATCAAACCTGAATAAAACAAGTTTAATATTAAAAAAAAAAACAAAAAAACTATAGAGTTTCTCTAGGAAAAACTAGGGGCAAATTTAGGGGCCCTAATATATGGCATAAATAGGCTATCAAATATAACTTAAAATGCACAGACAGCAGAAGAGAAACCAGATGATTGGGACCTTATAAAAATTAAATTTTTATGTGCTTCCAAGGACTTCTCCAAAAGAGTCAAAAGAGAACCTACAGATTGGGAAAAAATATTTGGTAATGACATATCTGACAAGGGACTTATCTCTAGAATTTATAGAACACTCCAACACCTCAATAACAAAAAGACAAACAATCCAATTAAAAAATGGGCAGAAGACATGAATAGACACTTCACCAAGGAGGATATTCAAGCAACCAACAAACATATGAAGAAATGCTCATGATCATTAGCTATTAGAGAGATGCAAATCAAAACAAAAATAAGGTACCATCTTGCTCCAGCACTAGTAGCAAAGTTCAACGAGACAGAAAATAACAAAGGCTGGCGAGGATGTGGAGAGATTGAGATTCTTATACACTGCTGGTGGGACTGTAAAATGGTACAACCATTGTGGAAAGGAGTATGGCAATTCCTTCAAAATTTGGATCTAGAAATTTGACCTAGCTATTACATTACTAGATATATCCTAAAGAAGTGAGAGCGATGATAAGAACAGACATATGCATACTCATGTTCATCGCAGCACTATTTACAATAGCAAAAAGGTGGAAGCAACCTAGGTGTCCTTCAACTGAGGAATGGATAACCAAACTATGGTACACACACACAATGGAATACTATGCAACCCTAAATAATAATGTAGAATCTGCAAAACACCGCATAATGTGGATGAACTTGGAGGACATTATGCTGAGTGAAATAAGTCAATCAGAAAAGAACAGATATTTTATTAGTCTGATATTGCAAAAGTCAAGGAAAGGTTTATCTATGGAAGGACATTTTCTTTGTTGGTTACCAGGGTGGGAGGGGAGGGAACACTGTTAGATAGACAGAGATAAGTATTGATTTGGGTGAAGAGAAGGGCAATGTACCAAATGTGAGTGATCAATATAGTGGCATTGAGGGAGAGAAAGACATAGAGAGATACATGGGAGGTACAGACAACAAAGATGAACCCTTTTGCACATATAGTATGGAGTTGTCAGTAAAGACAAACATGAGTGTATGGGTGGACAGGCTGAACTATTAGGTATGTTCATGAAGCAAGGAGTGTACCCAAGAACATGTTTAGAGTTGGCAGACAATGGTCCTATAAGTTTATGTGTATGATCTGAATTCTCAGGTGTATAGTAGAGCTGACAAGGGGCAAGGTTGTAATCACTGCTTAGTCATAGCCGGCTACCAAGCTGGACCAAGTAGTTGAACCTGTGGGCTTGGGACCATAGTCACCGAGGACATCAAGCTCAATTGGCATAACATAC